TTAATCAGCTAATTGAGTCATCATCATCATTTGTCCTTTGGCCTCCTAATGGAGCATAGGGCCTTCACAGTCATTCTCCATCTCAATTTTGATTTTGAACGATGTAGAGTTTTCTGTAACATAATATTTTTTACGGGGATGAGTTGTTAGCCCATTGTCCAACCCCCAATCTGAAGGACCAGGTAATTGCTTTTTGTCTGTTCTCTACCCGTCCACCTGTCTGGCTTGGGTGGCCCTACCAGGAGCACTAAGCTCCCACCGGCATAGTTCTGAGGGTCCCTGAGACACGCAAGTCCCCCAACACATAAAGGTAGCAATCCCACCTGGGGGGGCTAATCGAGTAGTCGATGGAATTTCCATCAACTACTCAATTAATTGATAAGGAGGGGGCACTCGCTGTCCTGCTGCACCTCTCCCTTTGAAATGCACAAGAAATCCACCCGCAGCTCTTGTATATTTCAAAGGGGGAGCGGTGCAGCAGGATAGCGAGTGCCCCTTCCTTCCAGCAGGACTGAAGCAGTACCCGCTGGAGGGGTTCCCCTCTGTGTCTCTTCCTTTTGTACAAGAGCCACCTGCGTCTCTTGTACTTTTCAAAGGGAGAGGAGCAGCAGTCGGACTGGCTCAAGCGGGACTGTTTCAATCTCTGCTCGCGCTGTTTCTGCGCTGCCCTGTGCCTTCCTTGCCCCCAGCATCGGCTTTTGCCCCCCCCCCTTTGCTGCCGCTCTTTGATAGAAGCAGCAAGTGTGGGGAAAGTGACTAGTCGAGTTCCTACTCAATTACCCCATAAGCAAATGCTTATATATGACAGATGACTTACAGACTTTAATGCTTATCGGGTAGTCGACTAGTCAGTTACATTCCTACACTGGACACCTCCCTATTTAAAGTCTGTAAGTCATCTGTCATATATAGTAAGGACTACTATTTAGCTTATGTCAGTCTACATATCTGAAAAATGCTGTAATTTGTTCAAAGTTATACAGAAGTCATCTGTCATATATAGTAAGGACTGCTATTTAGCTTATGTTAGTCTACATATCTGAAAAATGCTGTCATTTGTTCAAAGTTATACAATGGCAAATGCTTAGGGAATAAAGTGTAAACTAATTGGCATAGTGTTGATACCATTCCTAAGCAGGAGATAAAAAACCAGAAAAATCTTGCATGTCAGCATTTAAATTTTAACTTACTTTGCACAATGCCAAGTGTGAAGAGTCAAATTATTTTCCGGAATAGTTCTGTGCATCACTGCAAAACACACCAATTAAAAAAAAAAGGTTATTGGATGGCTTCTTGTAACTGTTCACCCATTCACAGCTGGCAAAGTTGCAGAATCTGGAAATACTCCAGAACATTTTGTCAATGAAATGCAGGATAACTGTCTTTGAACAAAATTATAGCTTTTTTTTAGTCGTCTTTTTGCATCATTGTGACAAGGAATGTGCTGAAGTGTCTGAGATCTAATATTTGAGAGAACTGGTAATAGCAGGAAGCTAGTATGAACAAAATTGTAAAGGCTTTTTAATCAACTTCGGTTTTTCCTCAGCTTACAGAATAGAAAACATACAGTCCACAATATTTTGGAGAAAACATCATTTATTGTTGTGTTTGTTATGTAAATACATTGTTGACATTGTCCATGGCATCTTTGAACCACTGTGTCCTGTGCTTGTGGTAGGAATGACTCCAGAGTCAGAAACTTGTCCCTCTATTCTCACACATGTATATGCAGATGTGACGGTTGACAGCTGTACAGGCCTTGCATAAATATACTAAGAACAGAATTCCAGGCAAATTGCATAGCTTATTTTGAGTCCACTTTCAAAATAACTTATTTTGAAATTTGGCGCTGTCTACACAGCACTTATTTTGAAATACATCTCTATTCCTAATTGTCCCTTGCTCCCCGTGGAATGAGATTTACAGGGACGTTGGAATAGCGAGCCTGTTATATTTCGAAGTAATGGGTACGCTCAAAAGATGCGGAATAGACGTAGCCTTTAGAGAATGAATCTTGTCCTGGATTAACTGACACAGATTAGTTTTGAGGTGCTGTTGTAAAAACAAGATTTGAATGGTCCTGAAGAGCAGTGATAACACTACCTGCATTCCTGATGTTTTGGTTAGTGCATTATGTATTCGTAAAATACATCTTCTTGGCTTCACAATGCAGGGATTGAGATTAAAAAAACCTTGCTTCATCAGCCTGAAACTCCTTGCTCTCAGTGCTGCTGTGCATGTTAAGAAACATCACTCAAATGGTCCTCTTTGCTATGTTTTGCCACTGCAACAACAGAAAAAGAAAACAGTTAAAGAAATAATGCCAATAATAGTTGCTGTGGGTGACAAACTGAACAGTGTATTAACACCATGAGTCACCAGCTTCCTGCTTAAGTAAAATGCGTGATTCGGATCTAAAAGGGAGGAAATGGTTATCAATTCTTTTTATGTATCTTTGTTTTGGATATATTTATATTGAGGAAATCACATCTTAAATCTTTGAATATGGTGCCACACTTTGTAACAGACACATTCATAGATAATAAGTTTTCCTTATATACTCTGAGTGGAGTTCGCTAAAAGAACAGACTATAGAGAAACTATAGTGTGAGGCTAATCTGAGGAAAATGTGTTAGGGGAATGGAGAGGGTGCAGAAGGTGATGGGAAGAAGAGCAGTACATAGGATGTAAAGGGGGAGATGCTAGCTTGGAAAGTATTTGGGGCTGGTGGAAGACACTGGTAGGTTTGTATGTACAATCAAATCTGAGGTGAAATTCTGACTCCAGTGAAGTCAGATCAAGTCCCCACCTGTTGTCTGCGAACTTCAGAGATCAGCTCTCCTTGGGCTGTCTTGTCATTCTAGCCCTTGTGCAGGATCTTAAAAACTGGCCATTGAATAAATTGCCCATGCTAATATATAGGAGCAGGTATTAAAATCAGATGCAGGTAGTAAACAGAGAGGTGCATGCATTTCACATTAATAGATGCTTATAAGCAGACATTAACTATACTTATCTGATGGCCATTATGTTGGTAAAATAATTCCTTTTGTCCTTGACAAAGTGGCTGATAGGATGGTTGCGGCTGGTGGAACTGTGCAGAGGCTGTAAAATGTGAGCTTGGTTTAGGGTGGTGGTAAGATGTTGTCTTTAATCAATGCATCTTCCTATCTTGTGGTTTCCCATCTACTGGGGAGAGAAACTATATTCAGCTGGGCTGGACTAGAACTACAAGCATGCTTCCCAGACTTTGTGACCAATGATACAGTACTTTTTAGATGCCCAGGCCTGCTGTTGTATGGGCACTCCATACGATACAGACCTTGCAAGACTGAACTGATCTAGTGTATTTTTGTCAGTTGCAAACCAGCCCTAAGATCTCAGGTACTCTAATTTCATGAATTCCTTCCCTGATAGGACTTCAATTTCCTCAATATGGGGAAATGGGATTGCTTTTTTGTGATCTTCCATGGAAATTCTGTTCTCACTTACTGTAATAGATTTCAGGCATTAAGTGATTCAGTTACTCATTGTTTTTGGTGAGGAAAAAAATTAAGGTGCTTTGGCTTTTTTTGAGCAATGATTTTAATATCAGTCCTACCAGAAACTCTGTGGTCCATTATAAGTACATGTGGGGAACAGGAAACTTAATATTGTACTTACATTGCCTAAGTTACTACACTACATACATCAGGTGATATTGCCTGAACTTAGCCTCAGAAATATAAAATGTTGTGCTGTGTAGGAACTGCAGAAAGGCTGCAAGTTCTGAGTATGTAAGCAGTTAAATATCCTGGATAATATTTGTTTGGGTTAGAGAATTAAATTATAGAAACATGAGGTTTACAGTGCTGCCTGATCAGAGGCGTAAGGTTTCATTCATATAGCACCAGTGCCATTGTTATATCTGTACTAGGGATGTTAACTAATGTGAATACAGGCAGTCCCCGGGTTACGTACAAGATAGGGACTGTAGGTTTGTTCTTAAGTTGAATTTGTATGTAAGTCGGAACTGGTACATATTGTAGGGGAAACTCTAGCCAAACATTTCTCCAGAGCTCAGTTTTATTCTCCCACACCTCACTTCCCTCAGTCCTTTATTCTCAAGCTGAGGTGTCTGCTGAGAAAAGCTGCTCCGCGTCTCCCTGGTCTGCTGGGGGGGGCCCTAGCTTTGCGTCTCGTTGGTCTGCTGGGGGGAAGCAGCTAGTGCGGGGTTGCCTCACCCCGTTTGTAAGTAGGGATCCGATGTAAGTCGGATCCATGTAACCCGGGGACTGCCTGTATGTGTAAATGCATAACTGCTGGATTTTTTAGTGGTTACACATTTACACGCGGGAGGAGGCAGGTGGGAGCTGGTGCTCGTGGGGAGCCAGCTTGAAAGCCACTTCCTGCGTGTACAAGCTCCTGCGGAGCCGACTGCCCCATACTCCCCATGCTGCTGCTTCTGATCCAGAGGCCGGTAGGGGGGCATGTGTAACTGTTACAATTAATTGATAAGATTGGTTACACACCAACATCCCTAATCTGTACACAACAAAATATGAGTAAAAACATAGTTTATCTTTTAAAAAGCCCACTAAATGCCAGTGCATCCTGCTGCATGCTGTCACTTTGTCGTTTTCTTGTAAAGTATCAGAGGTGCTTTGTGATCTGCAATGCAAATTCCAGCTGTTTTTGTGAACTTACAGCAATCAGATCTGTTCATTAAAGATGGAATGTGTTATGCAGTTATATATGCCTTGGAAAAGATTAATTTTTCAAACTTGTGTATTGTTTAAACAACTTTGAAAGATCCCCATGGATTTATAGAAAACTGGTTGGGATTTCATGATTTTTCCTACTCTCATAGTTTTAATGAGAAAAAATTAGGAAGAGTGCCTACTTGCATAAAACTACTGATCGCATATCCGTTGCGTCCAAAATGTGTGTTCTTGAGAGCTTGGTTTTAAAAAAAAAATTCAGTGTGTTTTTATTAATCGAATACTTTTTTTTTATCTTAGTTATGCCCCTTGGTGTCCAGCCTGCCAGCAGACTGAAGCAGCATGGGAGAGTTTTGGAAAGGAAAGTGAACTTCTAGATACCACTGTAGGAAAAGTGGACGTCACTCAAGAACCAGGTGTGCTATGAAAAGGAACAATCAAAACTATGTATCTCTTAACTCCTGGGAAATGCTCCATTTTACTGGGGTCCCTGAAAAAATAGCCAAGTCAGAAGAATTAGAATATTTAATCAAAATAAATGTCATTTCCTCCCATTTCTTTGAGCTGCTTATAGTTGTGAATTTAGTAGCATAGTGTTTCTAGCTTCTAAATGAAGGGTCAGTGTGGGTCATCCACTCTAGTACCATCTGTGGTGGACATCCCATAAAAGTGTCTACCTACAGCGTTGGATCTACCTCTGCCATAAAAGGCTGTGGTTTGACAGAGATTTCCATTGCCTGGTAGTAATGGTGGGGGAAACAAGGAAGTTGGAAATGATGAATTTTTCTAGTTGGAGGAACAATCTTGTGGTCTGTTCAAGCTAAGTGGAATTTTTTTATAAACACTCTCTCTTAGCTGGCTGCTTTATTGCCTTATTGTATTATCGAGCTATAGTAATGCTTTTAAGCACTTTGAAGGGACCAGTTTAATTTACATTTCTTGTAAATGAAGTATGTATAGAAAAAAAGCTTTTATAATTATACTTGCAAATAGGCTGCTTCCTGCCTTCACAGATACGTAACAACAAAAGGTTTAGAAAAGGGCAACAAAAATGATTAGGGGTTTGGAATGGGTCCCATATGAGGAGAGATTAAAAAGACTTGGACTTTTCAGTTTAGAAAAGAGGAGAGTAAGAGGGAATAGGATAGATGTCTATAAAATCATGACTGGTATGGCAAAAGTGAATAAGGAAAAGTTATTAACTTATCCCCACAATATAAGAATTAGGGGTCACCAAATGAAATTAATAGACAGCAGGTTTAAAACAAACAAAAGGAAGTTTTTCTTCACTCAGCGCACAGTCAACGTCTGGAACTCCTTGCCAGAGAATGTTGTGAAGGCTAGGACTTTAACAGGATTCAAAAAAGAGCTAGATAGATTCATAGAGGTTAGATCCATCAGTGGCTATTAGCCAGGATGGATAGGAATGGTGTCCCTAGTTTCTCTGGAGGTGGGTGATAGTGGAAGGATCACATGAGGATTACCTATTGTGTTCCCTCCCTCTGGGGCATCTGGTATTGGCCAGTGTCAGCAGACAGGATACTGGGCTGGTTGGACCATTGGTTTGACCCTGTATGGATGCTCTTATGTTCTTATGTAACATTTTGAAACAAAAAAAGCTTTGTTAGTTTTATACGTGTGTGCAGATAGAATTGTAAAAAAATATTGCATTTATCCTAGCTGCAAAGGAATGAAGTTTAATATAGTTAGGCTTGGAAGGATTAAATTGTTATTGGTTAATGTTAGTAAATGTCAGTTCCACTGTAGACCTATAAACCTTTGAAGAAATATTTCTGTTGATGATGATCATTAAAACTTTACAGATGGGCAGAATGAGAAAAGTGTTGCTTGACAACTTACTAGAATTTGATTTAAGGATACTTTATGGTTTGATGGTTATACAGTTTCAACTTTTTGAATCTCAAAATCTACTTTTAAATACTTATTGGACATCGCCTCCCAGGTTCCCACAACTATGAAAATGTATATTAATGACAATAACAAATGCTTTAAAACAGACATATCATCCATTAAAATAAAATAAAAAAGAATTTTGCTACGCATAATTATAGTAATGATTTGCGATAAAAGAGGAAATTCCAGTTACATTTGAATCAGAGTACTCTGTAGTTGATGATTATGCTTTATCAAACCATGAAAATGTATACAGACCTTATGGGCTTATTTCTCAAATGCAGGTGATGTTACAATTAAGTTAACTCCATACTGTTAATTTTAACAAGTTCAGTCTTAATTTTCTGTACCTGTGAAGCTGAAGTCTAATCTCAAAGACAAAGAATTTCAGCTGTTCCTAGAGGCTCAGTGTGTGCTTGTGAGTTGTATTATTAGAAAGTTGAAGGAGCAACAAAAGGCTCTGAAACCGAAAGGCTACCAGTATGGGTTCTTCAGTTAGCGAATTCACAGATTGTTACCAGATTAATAAATCTATGAGTTTGGAACAATTATTTTTTATGGGCTAAAGCTTAATTAAAAAGAAACCTCTAATCCATTATATTAAAGAAACATTGACCTCCTAACTATTGCAATATCAACACTGTTTAGTTAAGATTGCAACCGGTATCCCATTGTAAACCTGACTTTTCAGTTTCCATTAAGTTTTAAGCTTTTTTGTGTTTGTACTGTGTTAAAACACCAGGATCTTTATTAAGGCTTACAACCACTTAAGTGATACATATGATTTTTTGAAAAATGATTACTTGAAAAAAATAAGGCTGTAAAATAGGGATATTAGCTATCTAGTAATTAAATAGTTGAGTAATCGCCTGAATTCTTATTGATAACTTTACTATTCTGTAGTCTCCAGAAGTGGGGGCAGCAGTCAGTGCATTCTGGCCTAATTCGAACTACCTACTCCGTGCTGCGTGTAGCTGCGGGCACGGAGTCCGCACTAACGGGAATTTAAAAATGGTGGCGCCTGGCAAGATGCAAATGAAGCCCGGGATATTTAAATCCAGGGCTTCGTTTGCAACTTCGAATGTCTACATTAGCCACCCTAGTTCGAACTAGGGTGGCAGTGTAGACATACCCTTATATACTACCGATTGAATTAGATCCGTTGATAAGAAGAAATATATAGCATGAAATCTCACATTGTCTCCTCCTTATTTCATCTAATTGCTTTTCCTGTCTCTGTTCCTCTCGCTTTTTTTTTTTCTTTTGGTCTTTGCATTGTGGAGGAGATATAAGCTGCAGATTCTTTATCCAGTGCCATGCCTTGGCCAATTAATGTCAGATCACTCTGATTCCCTCTTACTGCAACAATTTTCAAGGGCTTTTGGGATATTTGACCTTTCAATTCTGGTTGACTCATTTAGCATCTCATTTTCAGCACAGATTTTGGTCTAGGGTAATGCACGAGATATGGAATCCTTATTTTAAACATCATTTAACAGGTCCTAAAAAATCCATGTTTTAAATCTAAAGTGCTGGCTAAGAATAAACTAAGAAAATACCTCTTCAGATACCTCCTTTGCCAACATCAGGGAATTGTGGACATGCAGAGGTTTGATCCTGGTGGGAGATATACAAGTGAGTTGATGTTTACACATAAGGCTTTGTATCTTCTGACTAGCATTTACAGCCCCTTGCTAGTTTCTCTGACTTCCTGCCAACACTGGCAGGCTGCCTTCTAGCAACATTTTATAGACCTGTGTGAAGTTGCATGCCTGAATTGATGACTATATGCACAAATGAATTATAGTAAAGTTTAGAGGTAACAGAATCAATAATTTCTTCTTGAAGTATTGATCCACGTGGATCCCACTTTGAAGCACCTGCATGTCACATGCACAAGATCTGAATCTTTGAATGAACAGACATCAGTGCATTTCATCTGTGCTGTACATGTACTTACATTTGTCTACCCGAGGATGTAAAGAGCAGAGTGACCACAAGTCACATGAGGTGCCTACTTTTTCATAGTCATCCACTCAGTCCACAGGAGGTTCCTCTTTGGTCAAGACCACTGTCCCTTCAGATCTTCCTCTTTGGTCTAGCCACAGCACATAGGGTATTTCCAAAGGTTTTTTGTTTTTAAATAGTAGTAGCACCTTAGATGTTAATAGCCATAATATCATCCAGATTAGTCAGTGAACGCCCATGGCATGTCACTGTATATGGCCTTCTTGGAAAAAAAAGGTCTTGTTGTGACCCCACCACAGATTCGTACTTAAGGTAGTTTTTGAATTTCATATGAATCA